ATAAACCTTAGAGTTAAGATTAAAGCCAGTTGACAGACTGAATAGGCACCTTGATACCAGCCTTTGTTCCATTGAAACTGACGCTCTGCAAGAAGAAAATATTTAGCCTAGCAGGCAATTCAATTCTATGCATGCCTTCCAGACCAATTCAAAGTAGAATTTATGTTCATCCCACGGTTACTACCCATGCATAATGCTAATATATTAATGTTTGGTAGAAATGAAATAGTTCATTATTCATCATATCCCTTCATAATATTTATTTGTTTGTTTCATTAGAACCCCCTTTAGTGTTAGAAATTGCTCTTGTTACATTAAATGAGACTGTAAATTGCTGGGAGCACAATACAAAGTAATATGATATTATATGATATGATATGCAAAAGTATCATAAAGCATACAAAAGTCAGTGTTTGCTCTAAGGTTACATAAGGTGGCGAGGGTTACATTGTCTTCAAACAAAAAGTTCCTTCCTTTTCTTTCTTAAGGAATCCCTGGTAAAGTTTTCATACAGCATTTGTAACTTTCAGGCGGATACTGCAATGGTTGGGTCGTTTGCATCTTCTCTAGTAGGCATACTCTAAATCACGACTGTCTGAGATCGGCTACACGGCAGATTGTAACGGCTACCGACGCCACTGGGATCCCGCTTCACCCATATTCGTCGCCGTCTGCTCACCAGTATGTTTATCACTATGATTTGTACGATACCTCTCCTTTCATGATTTCTGCCTGAGAAGCAGAAAAATCCATTTTAACGTCGTTTTTTCGTGGAGCTTTCCTTGGTGCTGAAATTTGTGATGTTAGTTATGCATTCATTTGCCCGACTAGACCAATAAATATGATATACATCAATGACCAGACTTCAGCAGTGATACTGACAAAGTGTAGGATGCCCAAACCTTTGGTCATTTGTCTGCAGCAAGACGCCGTTGAAGCAGGCTCAAGTGACATTAAACAGCGCATCAGAATGGAGAGATAGGGTGACCCGAGTAGAGCTAAAGAACGCTATCAGTTATGTCTAATTGCTGTACCTACGAAGATGCAAGACACAGAGGAACAATTTAGAGAAAGACAGATGGTAACTGCAGGACGTTTGCAGAAGCAGGGCCTGTAGATTGATGATACTGTAGAAGTTATGCTTGCAGAATTTTTACTCACTGTGCTCAGGTCTGTGAACTTCTAACCAGTGAAGAGAAAGTTTGTATCAAAACAATATATGATAGTGCCACTACAGGACCTTTCAATAGGAACAGTTTCAGAGCCAGTGGCTCGGGATGATGTGTATACATGCAGAAGTTGTGTTTTGAGACTTTGTATTTCAATTTTAGTGCACTAAGGGCAATGGACGTCTGACCAGTAAAGATAAAATTCAAAACAGAAACAGCAGGATCTGATGAAGCAGTTGATTGCAACTACAGGTCGTTTCTACAACTAGTTGAAGCTAATGTAATATACATATACACATTTTGAGACGTATTTTATTAGTGTATTATTGTCGATGACTTAATAATCAGTAATGAGAACTCTAGGGTTAGAGTTTATAACAGGAAGAACAGGATCTGATGAAACTACAGGACGTTTCTATATCTCTAAAGATAGGTGTAGGTAGATGAAGATAAATATAAAGTTATACATATACAAATATAAAGTTATACATATACAAATTTTGAGGCGTTTTCCCCAGTGTACTATGGTAGTTGGCTTGCTAGTCAGTAAAGAGAGTTCAGTAGAGAACCGGTAGGATCTGGTGTCGCTGTAATGATTGTTTCCCACTGCGTTGACATGCCTCAGTACCAACAGGATCTGATGAAACTACAGGACATTTCTATACCTCTAAAGATAGGGACAAGTAGATGAAGCTAATGTATATACTTGTTAAGTCCTGAGACGTATTTTCTGGCATAGGAAAGTATATAAGAGAACCGGTAGGATCTGGTGTCGCTGTAATGATAGCTTCGCACGACGCTGACATGCCTCCAACGCCTCCGCGATGTATTCTCTGACAGCACACAGAGCACTGGTAATCCCTGGCGCTACAGTAAACCGCTCGTCCTGTCACTTCGCGGCTGAAGCATCGCCGATCATAGCAACCCTACACCCTAATAACCATGATTTATCCAGCGAAACACCCGCAGTAATGCCAAACATCGTTCCTGTTTTCTGCATGCAGTTAATAAGGATCATCTCTCCCCGTATCGTGCCTACACAGGCCTCACACAGTCACTTTTCTCCCGGCAAAATGCATTTAAGAGACGTTCTATACGGAAATGTCGCGCTACTATCGCTCACAAATTCGCACTTACAGTACAACTGCCAAACCAATAATTACGCAATTATTGTAATCAGCCAATTAAAGTGACAACGCGGGAGCTTAGAGTGCTTATGGCAATTGTCTATTTGAACGCACAAGTTTTACAAAAACCATTATCAAAAGTTTGAAGCATTTGAAAGTTATTGAATATTGACCAAACGTTGCCTTAAGTTAGGATACTTGATATGTATAATAGCTGCTTTATGTAAGCCTCGCTGTAAAATAGGTAGCTTGAGTTCCCCATGATAATATAGTGGTTATTTGGGATTCCTCCCGGAGCATGTTATAACTTGTGATGTCCTTATATAATAAGGATATGATATTCGAGATTAGAATCAACGAGAAACTAGACATCTACTCTTCTCTACTCTTAACTGTACGTTGCACGAAAACACAGCTCTTTCTGAAGGCAGGGCTATTTCTTGTTCTTTTCTGGGCTGGTATTAGGTACTTAGTAGTTGGTACATCCACAAATTTATTAGTCATTTTATACATCATGCATAGTCTGGAACTTTTTCGTCTAAACATAATATACATCTCTCCAGTGCTAGGTCAGTCACCGTGCACACAGGAAACATATCTCTGTTTGATAGATCTTCTAATGTTGCCTTATCGATTTTACGACCGTTTCCGGACGATAGTGGTCCCTTGTTGGTGCTCACGTGTAGACCGTTCGTTGATTCTTTCCTTCCTTTAAAAATCAGCGGTGCATATCGGGTAACGAGCTTACGAGTAGCACCGTCATGATAATGTTTTCTGTATCGATTGTGTTGCAGAATTTAAGTGGCATTATGTAACATTTTTGCCCCCAAACTAAAATATTTCATGTGAAAAAAATTCGTGTAATTGTAATTTAGTTCCACTTTTCAACATATTTGTGCAATCATCTCACATTTCTGACATTCTATGTTTGGCCCACACCAGGTGCAATCAGTTTGTGGTGCCACCACAAAATACCAGAATGTAAACAAACATGCCTGGCAGCTGTGTTTCCTGCTCTTAAACTCACTCGTATATTTTGACAGCTTCTCTTCTTGAATGGTACTTATATGCATAGGAGTGGGGTTGATTCAACTTCATAAAGAAATGCCCAGAAAATTGACTTTTGTATCATCCTAATGTTACATATTGCAGCCTGCTTTAAGCTTGACTTTTACAGGGAACGCTGTCCTTTTCTTCACTTTTCACACAGATGCTTTCTCCAGCTCAGCAGCTTAAACCGCGACCCTACGTGCACCTCTCAGTGAGCCACTGTCGAACGGGCCATTGAGTCTGAATTGCGGTTTGAACCTGCCCCAAGTAATTTCAGGTAGACCACAGGGAAACACGATCATACATCAAAGACGTCCCGAATATTGCACATTCACAATACAAACCACAGCGGGTTCACAAGCTTCAGGGCATACTTTAGGCTTCATTTTCAAGCAGCTGCGTTGTATATTATGTACCTTAATGGTTACCGGTTCGGGTATTCTGTATTTGGCTATGCATGCAACATTTCTGTAATATTGAATATTCCGGTCCAATCTTATCACAACTTATATATTGTATAACTATAACATACCTTATGCCCCGGGGAAGGTTTCACAAGCTTGAGGGCATACTTTAGGTTTTATTTTCAATTCAAGCAATTATGTACTATATAATGCTTACCAGTTGGGGTATTCTGTATTTGGCTATGCTTACAACTGTAATATTGAATATTCTGGTCCAATCTGTGATACTACAGATGTTATAAATTGTATGACTATAACATAGCTTTTGCCCCCGGGAAGGTTTCACAAGCTTGAGTGCATACTTTAGGTTTTATTTTCAATTCAAGCAATTATGTACTATATAATGCTTACCAGTTGGGGGTATTGTATATTTGGCTATGTAAACAACATTTCTGTAATATTGAATTCTGGTCCGATCTGTGATACTACAGATCTTATAAATTGTATGACTATAACGTAGTTTATGCCCCCGGGAAGGTGTTTGGTGGAGTCGAACTCACTTATCCCTCCATTCCGACTAAATTGCCCCATAATCAACTCAGATCAGCGGACCGTGCTGGGCATACTGGTTATCACATCAGTTCTGTCGGGGATAACGCCTGAAGCTGCGTATTGACTGACATGAAGCAGAATTTCCATTAAACCCAACCACTGTAAAGTATACCTGTTCCTGCACCGTTTCGTAAGGCATGAAATATTAATTTCTGATCATCAGTAGTCTACGTGGATCATATACAAACGGTAACACACCATACCCTTCTTGAATGTGAATGAGTTATAGATTAGTACAAAATAAATAGGTTGATTAACGACTAAGTGTTTACATAATGTAGCAGAGGTGAGCCATTATGCAACACAAACAGTTTCATGCTAAGCAAACACATACAGATGGTTCGTATTCAGTTAGGCTATAGGAAATATACTTGCTTTTGAGACAGAGTATTTTCTAGTTTATCTTCTCTCTATATATTTTCTTTCTCTGTGTATATCTACCTATCTAATGATATCTATTCATCTACCTCCTATCTATCTCTTTTATCTATCTTTCTATATTTAGAGAGAGGGGGCAGAGAGAGGGGGCAGAGAGAGATCTGATATTTATATCTCATTTTCTATATTGTATACATAATATTTTCTGAAAGAGATAACATGCCTTGCCACTTGCCTTGCGGCCTATCCGTTGCTCACAATCACTCCAGGTTCAGTATCTCCTCCTTGGATTCCCCTCGTCTCTCGGAAATCGATTCCTCGGCGTCTTGTGCCAGTTGGTCCGAGACCGTGATTAGCTTCTTGCCTCTGTGTTTCTTCCCGAGGTCAGCGATCTTCCTCCGTATCCACATGGCGACCCTGAACACTGCTCCAGTGATGAGGAACATCAGACCTATCACACCAACAATCCCCCACGCCTTCACCCTGAACTTGAACTCCTCCCTGTCGTCTTTAGTCGTGAAGACTGCACAGTCGACTGCGGGAGGGTACACAAGCTTGGGATCAAACACGCAGACCTCGTACCTAGTCCTGGGTTTCAGATCTACCATGAAGTAGGACCGCTTGAATGGCGGGAGGATGACGTGTGTTTGTATGGCGTTGGCTTCCTCATCTCGGAGGTCACGGTAAAGGAGTCGCGAGAATCCGTCTCGTCCTGTCGAGTCGTCTCCCCAACGAACTCGTGCGGCCCAGGACGACACCTCTACGACGTGGACACGACTTGATTCGGTCAGGTTGCTTGGCAGTTCCTCAGCCAGCGAGCGAGCAGGTGCCGAGTTCTCGGGGTTAGAGTTCGGCGCCGACGCCGCCATTCTGCAGATGGGAATCATGTTGAAAGTGACCCACACCCACTGCACCTCGTATGCACACCGCATCCTGTTGTATCCCTCTCTAACGCACGGCACAAATCCTTCATCACATCATCATGGTGCACGTAGAGCCGCGGCAGGGTAGTACACACACATGCGGGGTTCACTTCCTAAAGAGGGACAGTTTAAAACCCCGACGCCGATTACCCCAAATCTGCACTTAATGGTGTAACACTGGTGTGCGACAAATCACCTGCCGCACACTGAGGCACCACCAGGGGATTGGAGAAGGCACTACTGCTACTGTAACTGTCATAAAGATGAACATGCTGCACCCATACCGTAACCTTGGGCATGGCAGCGTGGGGATCAATATGTCTAACGACAGGCAACAGCCTCTGATGAAGTGCAGTTTTGTATACACGGCGTAGATGAATATTTTGGACCTATTTCATATATACATGTATTGATTTTATGTCATATGTTAGATGTACAATATGTACTGTAGTGTTATTTCGGAAGACGGTTGCGGTTATAAATAGATACGTGCTTATAAAAGGGAGATGGGTTCTATATTACTCCTAGGTGATATGGAAATGGATACCAAAGCGAAGTACAAGCGCGTAAATGGGAACGTCAATAAACTCCGACCGAAGCGTGTGCGGCCATACATGGCAACAAAAACTGCCGTTTTATTAGCGATGCAATCAAATAACCTTCCCTAGCTGCACAAGGGTTGTTTGTCAATGATCCCTTCCGTATATTATGTACGGGAATATAAAGATATATAAAATCCAGAGCTAATAATATTCAGATACTCCAGAAATTAGATATGAGAACATTAACCCAAATTAAGCAATAACTCCAACCATATCAGTATGGATTTTCTGTCAGGTTCCATGTTTTAATGAAGATTTGGAGGCGAGTAAAGGAAGAGACTATGTCACAGTTTACGGTGTGTGCGCACTATATATGCATTATAATTACCGCAATCATTTTATTCAGTTTCATTTTGTGAACCATGTCATTAAGATACACATCGACGTTTAATTTTATAGACAATATAAAAAATTGGCCATTAAGATATGTCCAAGTGATGGACACTATTATATATATCAAGCTAATGTTGGAATATCTTAAAGATGATTAGAAAGTAGATTGGCAATCGGGGAATGGACGTTTTATTCTCTTCGTTTTTCTGTCTTTCTGAATGTATTATCTGACGAACGCTTAATGTCGTTAAGTGTGGTAAAATTCCCATTAGGGTAATCATTGTGGTTTGATTGTTCTCATTAGACTTTTAATTCGGAAACCAACGAGACGTGAAATGAAACCGTTTTGCCCGGAGAGACATAACAAGATCTGTACATCACAGCTCTGTACTCTCATTAATCCGTGCATATTGATGGTCTAAGTGAGGTAGTGGATGAAGCTTTGGTAAAAATGGCATAATAAGAAAGTAGGATGACTTCTAAAGTTAAATGTAAATACCCTTGCAACATTGATCATCCCTGAATACAACAGTACTCAATGCCCCAGTACAGAAACCTACTATAACCTGGTTATAATACTAGAAAGGTAACATTTGCAAAGCAAATACATAATATTAACCTACGCATATGGTCTGCTCTTTTAATTCGTACTCATTCATCATATGATGACAGGAGTCTAAATCCCTCCTACTACAAAATTGCAACATGATGTAACCCGACACCAGTTACCATAGTGAGAGACTGGTTGACCAGGTAAGTGTTTGGAACGAAAGAAGAAAAGGAAACTGAGCAAAAACAATTTGTTTTCCTTCGGTAAACATAATAAAAACATACTAAAGTACATGTACATGCCAAGTTGATGCATGATGTAACCACCAGCACAACTTCAGCATGTTTCATATACACAGGCTTATATACAGTCATACACGGGCCAGAACATTCTGCCTGCCCGTAGTACAATTATACGAGCATTCAAATAACAGTAATCTGCCTCGACTGTAATTAAAGTCGCGGTCCGGCTCGTTAGTGAGTTGGAATGATTCAACCTATCGTCGTCTCCAAATTGAAACCATTGCTTGGTATCACATATATTATTCAGTAAACGGTGTTATCCAAAGGTCAAACACTACCGGTATGTATATGTACAATGTTGGATGACAGTGTTACCTCAAATATGCCAAAACATGAATATGTTAGGATAGACAGAGTCCTAGATGACTAGGCATTAAGAATTAAACATACAGATAGTCTACAAACTCGAAACGTACATATTCTTTCCTGGTAGATAAAATAATCCATCTCACCAACCAAAAACCTTGTCCAGGGTCGAATAAGATTAAACAATATTACATAGACTTAAGAGACATCGATTTTCGAAATCCGAATCCAATGAGGGTAAGATAACTAGATATATTCAAACCCATTACAAAATAATACTCGCAGCGCTTTTGGTCCTAATTGTATAAATCGGATATACAATAGAATTTGTAAGGTACAGGTGCATAGTTCTTTCCTTACCAAGATTCAAGATAGCTTTTTTATTAGTAATTTAGAAGTCAAAATCTGTATTATAAACCAAAACTTGAATGTACAATCAATCGACATGTCTACATATAGCCATCAAATGTCGTCTTACTAACTACCCTGGTGTGGGATCGGGAGGCTTACAAGTAAACAGGTCACAGGCAATATTATCATATAGAATATATCTTAGAAATAGAATACCCTTGCGTACTTTAAGAGGGATATATTATCCTTTGAGGTATGATAAGACTGCCTTATCGTAGCCATGGCACTGACGCGCGGTATCTGCTCCATCAATGTCCGTAAGCAACAGTCTGTGCAGAAAATGAAAATGTCTCCCCTGTGGGAGAGTACCCTGACCGCGGGGCTGTATCGACCGCCTGGAAATTGAATCCTCAGGTGACGTGTCCGCCCAGATAAGATTAGCCAGGCGGACGCAGGTTACGCGGTGGGGGAGGGGGGCCATAGACAGATCCGGATCGAACACATCGAACCCCTTATTTCGAGCACCTCCGTCAGCTCGTGAAGGGAAATAGAACAGGGGGTTCGATGCGTTCGATCCGGATGGGCCAATTTGCAACACCCCCTCTGTGATCTCTTTGGTACAGGAAGGGGACGTCTAGACAGAATCAGCTTCGGAAGGATGTTGTTGTTTTTTTCTCCACAAGTCATGTTGACAGCGCCCTGTGAAGTAAGTCAATTGCAAAATTGGCATTTTAGAACGTCAGTCATCTGTGATACAAAATTTGCCTGTCTTGTTACCAAAAAGACTGTCTAACATCGTTGTCGATAGGCTGCTTGAAAATTCTACGAATTATGACGAATGTGACCTGCTAGGTGACATATTTCCTTTTACAAATGGTTCATGAAAACACCACTACAGTCCTAGTAGAGCTATCACTCCTAACGGTGGTTTGATGTTCCCTAAAATGCACATAAAATGTCACGTTATGGTAATGAGGGATAATATAATAAATCAAATGAAACTCTTCGTCAAGTGCTATTTGCAGCCTTATCTACAGTCATGTATATGTTGGATGAAAATACCAATACCCCGTTGACCAAATATGTCCTTGGAAAAAAAATCGAATTTTGACCAGATAGCCTTGTTATTACCATTTGCTGACGGCTGAATAGTTCAATACTACGCGTACCGTCCCCAATCTAGCCATAGACAAAGCAAACGACTGCATATAACGCAAAAACAACCGACCCGTAATACCTGGTTCAAGGTGCCCTTACGATAAACCGACTGTCAGGGGCCAGAAGAGTAATAGCAGTAATGTAATGACATTGAACGTGAACCGTTGAAACGCCGCCGCTCTGCACACTCCGATAGATACTGGTCAACACATCAAACCCGAGTGTAAGAACAAAGAGGACAGCTGCCTTGGTATGGATTATTCCGCGCCCGCCCGTGAGGCGTGATTTATGGATGTTATAATGTACCAGAAGTTCGGACTCCCACAGGAAGCGAAGCCGCTGCTGCTTCAGTCACGGGTACTAAATCAGCTCGCGCCCAGGCGCCGACTGACTTCAAGATCTATAATAGCTATGGGCTCATCCATGTTACCTGTCTAAAGAGAGAAATGGCATCTTTGGTTTTTCTTGGGGCGACTACAGTACGGGAAACTCGGCCAGATACACATTCAAATAAAAATCTACCACTGGGTAAGTTATGGAGATTGTTTCCGGACGTTTCAAGTGACATCTCTCACTCTTCTTAATATTATATATACAGTGTCACTAAACTTCATTGTTTACCTGGATGTCTAACCTTCATCAAGGTCTGCAGAATACATACATATGACATCGATACGTACAGGAGTGGGAAATATTTTAGTTGAGCTTGATTGCCACCATAGAAGTGTACCAACCCTAGGGTATAACTGTCGAATGTCAACATTTGGAAACGTAGTCTTGCGTTCATGTCTTACCTAAAGGATCGATGTATATCGATTGGAAGCGTGTAAGATAATGATACTTCTTCATATGATATATCAGGCGATGTTTTAATCGATATCATTGTCCTAATAGTCTTTTCCCTGGATATATTTAAGAGGAGTTTAAGAAAAAATGAGCATGCACAACTTATGCCTGATACGAAGATAATGCTGCTTCTACGTCATACTTCCTATTTATAGATCCTCAATCGTTCTAACGACTAGATTCCAATCAGTTACCATCAATGACAATCAACGGTGAAGCTAGTGGAAAATACTAACTAAAAGAATTCTAACAGTCGTTGCGCGGAATTGAGTCAGTTGCAGACGATTAGATTGCAGCCAGCTATGAAATCACTTCAATCATCGGCAGAAGAAGCATACCATCACCTGCATGGTGCATCTATTTCTCGGATGTTTGTAGTACTAAGATTCTCAAGAGTACAAACTGTATGTCACACCAGTGTGGGGGCAGCATCGTAAGTCGAGTCTCACATGTCGGACATGGTGTATGACACTAGAGAAAATTATATTTACATTTATTAGATAGAACGTAATTGCAATATTATATTCATGTACGTTTTAAAATGATTTACTTATAGCCTGAAGCACCAATAATTGATATTCTACTACGGGATTTTTGTAAGAATCCTCAAGGACACTAGCTTCTAATCGCATCTGGATTGACATTTAATTCACGGTTAACTTATATATCTCTTTCTCCTTATAATTAAGAGATGCATAGATCATGAACAAGCTAGCCATTTTTCAACTGCATTTCTAACAGAAAGCTCTCGCTATTACATATCTTGTTTGTTCACGGGATACAATGCCGAGAAAGCTGTTGTTACAAGGTCTCCCCTGTGTGTGAAGTGGCATAGGTGAACAATAAAATCCCACCTGCATGTTTGCATACTGTCTGGCTCAGGATTAGACCTACGTGAACTCGACATAAACCTGATTTGTGCCATGACCAATATTATTGATCAGCTGAATACAGAACCTTACGTTTGATGTCTATATCCTTTATCGACCAACTCTTCGTATACGTATTTATTGATACTTACTGTAATAGTGATTTATCCTCCATAGCTATACGAATCACCTAATTAAACGACGTACAATTCTAGACGTATAACACTGGGGATAAGTGTGGGGATAATGCAATTTGTCCTTGTCCAGTCGAGAAGACAGGCATTTGCGGTAGCTATGCTTGAATTAGATGTATCAATATCATTATAAGAGATGTTAAAACGTTATATATATATATAACCAATGAAACATTTACATTTATGGTCAAAGTTTCCGGTTTAAGCGAGTTGTGGACTAATAGAAGTTCAGGTTATGCTTACCTTCTTGTTTCTTGTTGGTCGAGGTTCTCTTTATTAACGACTGAGAATTTCTAACCATTGTTATAACCAATGAAACATTTGCACTTATGGCCAACATTTCTGGATTAAACGAGTTATGGATTCATAGGAGTTTGTTTCCATAGTCTAGGATTATTAACGATTAAGAATCTCTAACCAATGTTAATACCAAAGGAACATTTGAACTTATGGCCAATGTTGTTTCAGAAAACGGATCATGGATTAATAAAAGTTCAGGTTATGCTTACCGTCTTGTTTCAATTGTCGAGTTTCTCTTTATTCAGGACTTAGGATCTCTACCGTTGTTATGACGGTGTCAATCAGACATTTTCTTCTTACGGCCAATGTTTGTGGATGAAACGAGATACTAGTTAACAGAAGTTGAGGTCACCCTCACCTGCTTGTTTCAATGGTCGATGCTTATTCACGACTGAGGATCTCTACCGTTGATCGTTCCCGTCCGTCCGAGGTGGACTCCTCGGGTTCACGGGCGAGCTGATCCGAGACGGTGATCAGGTTCGCCCCGTTGGCGTTGTCGCCGCGGTTCCGGCGCTTTTTCCGGTACCGAACCACGACTCTGTACACCGCGCCGACCAGGAGCAGCAGCAAACCGATCCCTCCGACGATCCCCCAAGCCTTGACCCTGAACTCGAAGGCCTCGCTGTCATCTTTAGTCTTGAAGGTTACGCAGTCCACTTCGGGAGGGTGCACGAATTTCGGGTCGAACACGCACACCTCGTATTTAGTCCTCGGTTTCAGATTGACCAGGACGTAAGATCGGATTTCTGGCTTCATGATGACGTGTTTTTGCATTCTCCATTCGTCGGCAAGGTCGTGGTATAACATTCGGGAAAACCCGTCCTCTCCCGTGGAACCATCTCCCCATTCAATCCTCGCTGCCCGAGATGACACTTTTCCCACCGACACCCTCCTTGTTCTGTTGCCCACAGGATCCTCGGCGAGCCGGATGGCTTCTGTAGTCGGGCTCGAGTTCGGCATCGACGCCGCCTTGCCGAGCACGAGAAGTAAGTTTATAGTTCCGCAAACCAGCTGCATGTTACAACACATGCTTTTATTACACCACACGCGCGTCAGAAAGGGTGCTACCTGGTGCAGACCGGGCGAAGTTGTTCCTTCACGGTGCGCTGCCCCATCGCAGAAGCTGCAGAACTCTGTGGCAGTTCCCGTCACGGCAGCGCGCAGTGCTATGCTTGTGTTCGATTACAAGAAATGAGTCCTGGGTGCTGCCGTGACATCACAGGGACAAATCACCCTACACGTTCGCGGTGCAACCACAACTCAAGTGGCAAGGCTACGCGCAACCAAGGGAAAGAGGCACCCCCGAGGAAATTCAATGCAGTGTGCGAAATGCAACAAGAAATGCAATCATTATCATTACAAATAGCTGGTATAATAATATCATATAAAACAGTCGATGCATGTTAACAATTCCAAAACCGTAATAGTCCTATACAGTCGTTAAGCACTCTGACATTTTCATGGCAAGAAACCTCACTTAGATGCATTAATAACGGATTCAGTAGACTCTATGCCTCCTGTGCTGTGATAACACCCAGCTAGAGCTGGTATGGAAATTATTGGCCGCGGGATGTCAAAGGAAATCATTCTACTGTCAGTCTCCGATACATCATGGGAGCGGATGAAGACTGAGGGGAGAGAAGTTGGCACAGATGGAGATGTTTTCATATTGCCCGCATTTGCAATATATTTCTCTTGTGGGACGAAACCAGAAGGTCATTCATGTTTGAACATGAAGAATGTAGATGGAAGTTTGGCAGAACTGAGCTCTAGGCGTGCAAATTTGCAAGTAATTTTGCTCGTGGGCAGGCAGTCTCCACATACATTCGCTTAAGATTACTTGGACTGTAGCCTTTTTCTCAATCTGAAATGGGCTCTCAAAAATTGACTGTTTTATACGTTCAAATGAATGTGCCTGGGTAAATCCAAGTCTGTATATATCCATGACACTACACACCATCAAAGACGCATTTCTATGATGAAATGGGTGAAGAGACATTACTTCTACATTTTCAAATGGTTCCGAAAGAAACGTAACCCTTACATAAGATACCAGACAGCCCATACACATACCATATATAGTAACTACTTACTAACGGTGACCACCGTTATATAGTAACTAATAAGCTAAGAGGCTCTCTTCACCTCCTAGGATGTGACCGTTATTAGTACCCTCACTGCTTTACTATAGAAAATAAACGGTAGGGTGTAGTCCTCGCGAGAGTTGTAAAATCCGTCGCGAGATAATGCGAGACTAGACTTGCGGTTGCCGGCTTGGCTGAAATGGACGACAGACGGGACGGCCTGGCGATTTATATTTTCTCTTCATCTCTACTCTGACCTGGACCAATTCTTGGACCATTTATAGGCTACTACATATTCTGCAGGTTAGTCACTAGCTCACTGGACTCTCAGTCCTTGTTGTTTAAGTGCTAAATCCGCGTTGCGTTGAGGCACGACTGGGCAGTTTTCTCTCAATTCTTCGCAAATAGCCAGTGAATATGTTTGGATATGTGGCTAGCAGCCAAAAGAATATTTTAGTAGTCAAATATCAACTGCCTATATAATACATTTGATTTGGTAATGGTATATACGTATACGTAGGTGTGTGTCTGTATGTGTGTTGGGGGTGGGGGGCGACATTCAAATGTACGCGCGCCCGGGTGATTCCATTCCAGAATGGGGTTGGGCAGCTACTCTCCAAGCAGAGGTTTGGGTTTTGGGGTAGTTTTTAGTCGTGTTTTATTGCTTTTTTATTCGGGGTTTCTCTTTTGCACTGAATTTTTTTCCCCACCAAAGTTTGAAAACATGCTAAAAATACCCCCAAAACCCAAACCTCTGCTTGGAGAGTATTGGGCAGCATCAAACTACATGTATAATATATACGTTACACTGTAACTTGACTAGATGTAGTATCATCAAGGAGCTTGGTATCATATTATGAAGGACATTACATCATTGACCATACATGTCACTAAGACAGCATTAGTTTGATTACGGGTTACTATTTCCCTATACACATGTATCTAAATAGAAAATAGAACATTTAATGTTTTTTTTAATTCAAATTTTCAACCTTCTTGGCATTATGGATCATATATTTGTACATGTATTTGTCATAAAACAGATTCATG